TACTGGTCCCACATACTAGATCGAGGCCATTTTACCACACAGTAAGGGGGAGAAGTGATACAGGAGCCATTGCTCAGTGTGGGCGGTGACCTGACAACAGTGACTAGGCCTAAACGCTCCTCAGCTAATGCAAGTCGCAATCAGTAGAAGCAAGCAGCATGTCGGATGTTGGGTACAAGTGAAGCCGGAAACATGCATGTATTTAGTGAGCTTATATTGCCTACAGATAGCATTTGAAACTAGATTCAAATGCTGGGTTAATCAGAGAGGGAAATTAGGGACCAGAATTTTGTGTACCTTTGTGCATTATGCGGCAGCTGTTTAGATCTTTACTCTTGAAAACAGAAGTGTTTAAATGGTTGAAGCATGCATCCATATTCAGCAAGTATTTTCATGCCACAGCCGATGAAAATAGGGTTTCGTCAGTAAACCGGTCAATTTACCTTCAGATTTGGCGCCTCAGATGAGATCACCTTCATTTTGCATCACTGGGAGGTAGGTAGTCGTAGGCACGTGAAGAAACTGCATGTTTGGATACAAAAAGCATTTGTTACCGAGGTTTTCAGACTAAACTCCAAGATGAAACATAGGTGTCGGGCGAAGTGCAGAAGTAATCGCTATGCAGCACCTGCATGATGAACATGTTTGCTGGAATGGTTCAACCGCACATCCGGTTTCTGTCTTCCTACTTCTGGAAGACAGCATAATTCCGGAGTCCTCTAGCGGGATTTTTCTTCTGTTTGTGCCTAAGAGACAAGAATTCTACCCGGCAGGCTTAGGAAAAACGAGATAGGATATCTGTCCATCATCCTAGGTGATGCACACTTCTACCTGACGACAAGCTTTCCGCGTCAGTTAAGCTCTTTAACTTTATGAATACGTAGTCTGTACTACAGTAGAAACGACAAAATGCGAGTGTTAAACAGATTAAGATAGAGCAGCAAAAAACTGCGGAAGTCACAAAACACCGTCAAAACGGAGTTAGCTTCATGAACCCGAGGTCCAATTATATGATAATTATACAGTAATATATTTCGAATACAGAATTATGCGAGTGCATGCCATTCTTACGGGCAGTAACTTTGTGCCGTTTTCTTGGCCAACCTAAGGGAGCCTAAATAAAACAAATCGCCGCTTCATACACACCCCTCTGGAGTATGCAATTGTTTGCATATTACTGGTCGAAAATATTCGGCAAAAGTCGTTCCGTTGCACAACAGCAGTGAAAACTGTTACGAGCATAAGTGGGTGGAAGACCAAACCCTACGAACCATCAAACTGTGACGCTGAAGTGAGGAAAATCGAACGGGGGCATGGCAAGACCTAGATATCGTCCTGAGCTCCTGGATTCCTAAAGATAGAAAAGGACGGCTTTTTGTGAGAGGAGACCTTATATAAATTAAGCAAAGATGGAAATAAACCAATAGTGAAAACCAGGCACCATCATGATAAAAATTCTGCAGACTCGGAGAATCTTTCTTTCCTAGGATTACCATCTAACTCCGGTAACTTTGAAAACGTTTCATTGACCATGCACATACTCAGAGCCAAAGCCGATTCAGGAATTTTGCCAAACGTATTATGCTCCTGCGGGCGAAAGTGAAAACAAGGTCCACTCTCAAGCAGCCTACTTTAGGGGTATGAATGCAGTAATTCAAAATAAATATCCTAAAATCTTTGACTTGAGGACATCTGGTGCGATAACAGGGAAAAAGAATCCTCCAAAAATTAAGTGAATCACGTAAATCTCACTTCTGAGGGTGTTGTGAGTGGCTGAATGGGACTGTATTCATAGACCAGGAAGAATAAAAAGCGTCTTTCGATTCTTCTCATATTAAAACATCCGCACCATAAGCACTCTGGTCCAAAAAACACTGAAAAATACCTGGACCTCATTTATGCTCTGCTGTGACGCCGAGTGAGACATTACAATGAAAACGTAATAAGCAGGAGCCGAATTTTCCCTTGGTAGATTGTCTGCGGTCGCAAAACAGGGACGTGATAAAGACCAATTCACCAGCTGTTCTGCACTGAATAGGTTCTCAACTCACGCTTTTTAACATTCAGCTTATATCACTGAAAAAGCGATTGTCCTACAAGTGGGGGTAAAGTGGAAGGCTTGAAGTACGTCTTAAAAAGTCCAAAAGGTTGGCTCAGTGAACAGGCTGAACTACTTTGAAGAAGTAGGGTATCTAGAGCTCATCTCTTTAGAGTTACTGAGGTACTGATTTCTTTCAGATCTCAAACAAGGAATTAACTAGCCAAAGCTAATTTATTTCGCTGAGACAGAAAGGGTGCAAAAGAGGCTGGTGGTAGTATAGGCAGGCCTTTCTTTGACAAAGTATGGACAGCATACCGAAAAGTTTGACTGCACTCACCGGCACTCCCTGTTCTCTATCACACATACCAAGAGAGATGGGCATCCGGTGGAGGTTCTATATAGAATGCTGTCTATGGATTCTCAGTAAGACAGATAGATTTTAGGCAAGATCAGCGGACATCTTAAATTAGACCACACACGCGCTCCTATTATCGAAAAGATTGAGAAAGATCAAAATGCATGCAGCTGCCGCATCGAATTTCGTGGGCGGCAAACCACATACTGGCTGCTCTATCCTTGCCAGCTGGAGCAAAGACTGAACCCTTAAACCAGTGTTTCGAAGTGCAGCATACAGATCAATACGCCATAGTTACACTGTTCCGATTCTGAGGGATTTCAACTTCGTGGGAGTTAAATTTGAAGTACACGGATACTGAGTTTGTGGCGATCTCACCCATGCTTTTCCTTCAACCTGGTTGGCAAACCTGAACCAACCAGAATGTGTTACTGTTAACCAAGCGAGAAATGCTCAGACGCTATCTCATATGGACTTTATTCTCACAAACGAAGAGTTCTTGTGGAAATAACTAGCAATCTTTCCGTTTCAGTAAGATAGAAAAAGCAACACTGGATTTCAATATATCTGGAAATCCGACTGATTCGATTATTTAACCGTTGACCCTAGAATTTTAGATGACCTAATTCAGAGATCCTTCACACTGCCCTGGAACAGGTAAACCGGAACTTTGGCCAAACGGGGCAGGATGAAAGTAACTAGCGGGGATTTATACGTTATGACGTCACACCTATTTAGCTCAGTTGTGCTCGGATGCACCAGAAACAACCCAAAGTAACTGCCATATAACTTTTAAGCTTCTGATGTTAAAAGGGTGTGACTGGGTTGAATACATAAACAGTAATAATGAGCGTGAATACGGAGAGTTAGAACGAATCAGAAGTCAGTGTATGGAGACAGAAACGGAAATTGATATAGACATCCGTCTCAGCTCAAAACGTGTTCCCATCGAACCCCAAAAGTCCCTTCTTACATGCAACACCTTTCTGATGATCGAAGGCAGGAGTTTCTGGACTCATGTCCCATATCAAGCTGACTAACAGTCGCATTTCAGATTACATCGCGAGGTGGATTTGACCACTGTAAGATTGCAGCAGAAATCCCAGTCGTAGGTGTGATATTAAATACGCCGGAAGATACTGGTACTTAAAAAAGGATACGTCTGTGGAATCAAACACAGCCCGTGCCATTGTCCTGCGGAAACCGCCACCACTTCTGGTTGAGTCTTAAGTGGGAAAACTCTGTGTATATGAGGTCACGGAGAACGCTTTCAGTTAGGTCATTTTGTGCAGATTCTCAAGGGGAACGACAGTAAAAATCCAAATAACGCAGGCCGGTAACTCGTTTATCCACACCATTCAATTCAAAAGAGCCACTGGGAGCTTACTGAGCCAACTTTATCGCTTCTCAGCAGCAAGGTTTTCGAAAAGATTGTTCTTGAACTACTAATATGCACGTGTTGGCGGAAAGGAGGGTTAGTATTATTGACCAGCGGGAAGAAATTGATGTTAATCACCCCAATTTCTCGGATGCGTTGAATAGCGTAGACGATGAATGCTGTATCAATTTGTTGACTCTAATTGGGGTGCAGTCCCTTGAAATTTGAATGAACCACATAGGTTTTGCCCAATGTCCCGCATTGGGGTCATTTATTTTCTGAGTGCACATCAACAGATGTCCCTTGAGATTCGCCCCTTTGGGATGAAGTGAAATTACGCAACGAAAACAAGTAGACTGGCTACACATACAGGCAGACTTGACCCGATTTCAAGAGTGAAAAGGTAGGAACGGTCGGCATTTAACTCAAATTAATTAAGAATAAGTACAAGCCCGGACGCAGTCAAAAGTAGCCCACCAACCCAGGTAGAGTAATAACATTCCAAATTTGCGGACTCATAGTGGTACGTAACTTGTATAGTCCGGAACCTGCTAGATCTGTGGATCTTAGGCTTAGGCAGTCATCTTTCACCCAGTGGGTTAGTGTTTCAAACGGCTGCCTATCTTTTGAGGTCTGCGCAGCCACGTAGTATAGTTGGCCGCTAAGTGACGTGCTCGGCTAGCAACCTACTGCAAGAAAGTGCACAAGGTTGTGGAGTTTCATCCCAACCATCATCACTTTAGAATTTAGGATACCACAAGATGACTACTCATGGCTTAAAATATCTATATTACTCCTGACCGTTCCCGTACCACTGACCAATGCCTAACCCTAAAAAAATTTCGAAGAGAATTCTTAGAAGTTAGATCTCGAACACAAGAGATTGGATACCATTGCGCAGCTCTCACTTGCAAAGAATTGTTTTAGCTTAGAAGTGCCACCTCTGGAGGTCTATCTGGTCCACTCTATCAACCTAATCAAAGGCGAACTTGATGTCTTCTTACTTTGATCTGTACATACGTTCACAGTCATAAGAACTGGTGATTCACTGCTTCAGAAAAAGAAGCTGGCTAAGTAAATCCTCTTTTGGGTTTTCCGCAGTCATTGGAAATTATTTACAACTAGTTTTTCATAGAATCAGAGGACCAAAAAAATCTTCTAAAATTTTTCATATTTGTTTGTTTGTTTGTTTGCCATGCAGTGGTTGTTTTAGCATTTGTGCTACAATGTCTTTCTCCGAGGGTAACATTGAAAAGGGCAAGAAACTCTTTGTCCAACGATGTGCACAGTGTCATACAGTTGAAAAGGGTGGTGCACACAAAACTGGACCAAATCTTCATGGTGTTTTTGGGCGTAAAACTGGACAGGCTCCTGGATATGATTACACTCCTGCTAACAAAAGCAAAGGTACGTTATTATGCCTACTTTGACGTAATCTCATCCTTCCCTTTGCTTCTTATATTGAAAGTGGCTAAGTTTACTCTTACTTGATTTGTGATCGGCAACTAGAGACTGGTATCTTTTCTATCATTCATAAAGTGGTATGCCTCTAGGTTCTATTCTGGGCCCACTACTGTTTCTTGCTTTTATCAATGACCCTGCAGGAGCCCTCAGTTCTCATCCACCATCATATGACGACAATCTAAAGATTTAGTGGGAAATACTGGTGCTAACGGGTATTTCGGTCTTCCAGGAGGACCTGACGGAAATCCTCAGTTGGACTACGGAAAACCTGCTTCCTTCTAACTCGAAGAACTGTCGGATAATGGTAGTTGGCAGTTCTTACTCTCTTGATAAGATAATTATCTGTCACTGTAACATGAAACAAGGTCTGGGAGTTACATTAAGCGACACACTAGGAGCTTCAGTCCACTGTCGCCTTGTAGCCAATGTCTATGGAGTCTTTGGGTTCCTCTAGTGAAATCTAAGGAGTCTAACTCCTTCTCTCTTCACCACGGTGTATCCTCTGTACATTCACCCTCATCTAGAGAAGAAATCGCTTGTAATGTTTCTATACTTGAAGAAGGACACAGCCAACGTAGAACGGGTGCAGAGAAGAGTTATAAAGAAAGTGATTAAGTTACGGCACAAACGTGGCCAGACCGCTTATTTGCTCTTAAGCTGCATCCAGTACAATACCGAAAGACCAGAGAGAATATGATCATAATGTACTACATCACCTATAATCCTCTCCATCCTAACAGATCCCTTCTAAGCTTTAATCGGAAACGCGACCTGAGCGGTCATTCTTTAAAAATAGAGCATAATAGAGCACATACAAAGATCCGTGCTAACTCATTTGCGGTTGGAGTTTGTAAACTGTGGAACTCCCTTCAGCAGTTGTTATGACCCTATCCCCTATACTTTTAAATGGAGGTTAAACACACACTTTGAGTCCTACGGTACCGAAGGGCTGTACTCGAGAAGCTTTCCATCATCTGCAGATCAGGTGCAGTAATACTGCCTTAAGATCAAATTAATTAATAATCGATTATTTGTATCCCTTCAGGTTTTTCGGAACCTGGAAGATAATTGTGACCATTCCAAACCCAGAACATACTCCAATAAGATAGACGTAGAACCCAAGGAACCACTGTTCACTAATTCTACAACACAAAGTTTGAAGTAAAGTCAATATTAAGGTAATATGAATGAGATATGGATGATGTATAGTTGAGCAACTTACAGTAAATTTGAGTTACCAGCACTTACGTTCATTGTAAAAAGATCTATTGTTTAGTTATTAACGACATACGGATATTCAACGAAGTCGAAATCTCGTAGTTTGGAACAAGCATGTTATTGAGTGAATGATATTACTCTTTCTTTAGCATTCACTAGTGGACATATCAAACATCACTGTTCATACTCTGGCCTTTGATTAACTTTCCAAGATTTCTTTGATTTTTAAATGTATGGATGCCTCAAAGTTACAAGCAGAAAATGGAGACATTTAGTCAATACTTCACAAAATAACGCTTAAGTAAACTGTCCAAGTTAACAATTATACAAATATGTCATAACGACGCTATACCGAATCTCATCACTTTCTCATTCTTTGTTTCTCTCTTTGAGTACTTTATATTTCTTCTGACTGTATTCTCTTATCTTCATCTTGCGCCTCACTACCCTTTTACTTGATGTAATGATATGAGATGTAGCAACTCAGACCGTTACTCAGTAATGTCTAGTCCTATGTTGATTTGGATAGATGAATGGATACAAATATGTTGAACGTTTAGCCAAAACAATTTCGTCAAGTGGGTTTTATCTTGTACGGTTACATTAAGTTTGTGTTTAGATTGAGATGAGTTAAAGAACTATATATCCTAGCAGCATTAACCTGAAACCAGTGTGGAGATCTGTACTCAGCATAAAGCGTGATCAAGATTCGGATTTTCAGCACCAACGTCAAGTCAGTGCTTCTATGTAATGGGTCAGAGACTTGGCGCGTTACGACAGGGTTTTCCAACAAACTACAGATATTCATCAACAACTGTATACGCTCACTCGTTACTGAAGCTCAGATGGCGAGAAAGAATAAGCAAAAAGGAACTCTGGCTGGTAATGAACCAACGAAGCGAGAACCTATCACTCAACAAATATGCGGAGGGAGAAAGTGGAGATGGATTGGGCATACACTGAGAAGGCCGACTGGGAACATCATGCGTCAGGCCAGGTCCTCGAGTGAAACCCAGATGGGAAGCGACGAGTTGGTCGTCCCATGTGAGGGTAACATGGAGGAGATCGTGCGAGGAAGAAATGAGAGCTTGTGGGCTGTCGTGAAGCCAGGTTGCAAAGATTTCAGAGAACAGGGCGAATCAGAGACGTGCTAGTGAAGCCCTATGTTTCACTAGGAACCTAAGAGACAAATGATAAATAATAATTCTAGCAGCGTCTTTATAGGAGTATCAGGGTTTTTTTGAATTATCCCTCAAAAGGTCACTGAAATATAACAACAATGATTTTACTCCAGTTTATAAGTGGACGAAAGTGTGTGATTGCGAGCGATTTATTTTCTTCTTAAAAAGTATAAACTGAAAACTTATCTTGGTCAAAAAAAAATACTACAGCTCTTGCCTAATGATCAGTATAGCGTTTTCTTGGTTATCTGTAGTGTTTGAAAGATACTGAAAGGATTAAGGCTTCCGTCAACACTAGTAGACATCCAGGTGAGTTGTAATTAGGTTGATCACGATCACAGTAGGTCAATAAGTAATAATGATAACCCAACAATCACATGTAGGTTATTAGTGTACTAGATTATGAACATGTGATATGTGAAAGCTGATGATATCAACTGGTCCCCTGAATACCAACAAGTGAAGTGGAATTTAAATCAATAATCTAAAGGTTGTAAGTTGACCGCTTAGGTCAATAAACTATAATTCATTGGCTAGCTGTTATTGAACAAAATTCACGTTATTTGCTGATCCATCCATCCATCTAGATCAACCTGGGACCAGACATTACTGCGTAACAGTTCAGTTTGCCGCCACACCTCATATCAGTACATCAAGTAAGAAGGCAGTGAGGCGAAAGATGAAGATAAGACAATGCAGTCAAAAGAAATATAAAGTACTCGAAGAGAGAAACGAAGAATGAGAAAGTGATGAGATTCGGTATAGCGTCGTTAAGGTGAGGATAATGTGTGTAGGGATACATCTGAGCCACTGACATCGGTTTTCAGCCATGTCACCTAGAGTCTCCAATCACTAGTTCCTCTTATCCCGCCGACCCCAACCACCCAGTCTGCATCGCTACCCCACATGGCTCAAACCAATAGTCAGAGACTTCACACATTGGTGCCATGTTTTAGTCTGGCCACCTCGGGCCTTTTTCCAGCCTGGGCCTACTTCGGTCAACATTGTGTGACGAGGCAATCGCTGACTAGGCATACGTAACACGTGTCCGAACCATCTCAGTCGATGAAGGTTCACAACCGTGTCAACTGAATTACCTCTTCTCCCTCCCTAAAACCCTGCATCTGACTTCTGCATTACTCACATGTGGTGACACCACAGAATACGGCCGACACTACGAAGGCAGTGGTAGTCAAACACCTGAAGCCTTCTCATATCTTCCACCTTCGATGACAATGTTTCACAGCCATACAATAGAGCAGAGCAGACTACTGTACAGTACACGCGATCCTTAATAGACAGTCGAATATCATGGCTGTGTCACAGGTGGCGTAGGTTGGCAAAAGCTAACCGAGCGTTTTTGTATCCATCCAGATATTTCATCGACCACTGAGCCACCGAAACAGGGCTGATCCAACTTTCCAGGTAAGTGAAGTGAGTAGTTGACATACTCAATCACTATACTGTCTAATGTTGTTGTTTTGACAATCAACTCCCGTAGTTGTTGTCTTACCAGTTAGATTAAACATTCTGTTACTTTATCATTATTTTTCTTTTTGTAACAATTATTTACTATTTTATACCATCAATTATTCTTATACATTTTTCTAGGTATCACATGGAATGAACAGACATTATTTGAATATTTGGAAAATCCAAAGAAATATATCCCTGGCACCAAAATGGTTTTTGCTGGTTTGAAAAAGGAAACTGATCGAAATGATATTATCACGTATCTTAGAGAAGCAACAAAATAATACAAACTAAAGTTTATTCCTTTATATGCAAAAAAAGCTTGCCTAGATTTTATCAAAATGTAGCAATTCTTTAATATTAACAAGATTTGTATAGAAAGCAAAGAAGTCAGTGAAATCACCGGAACAGCTAAATCTTTTTAGGAGCTTTCGTGATTCCATATAATTTAAAATAAAACCTTCTGGTGTTTCTAATTCGATTGAAACCAAGTCTTTTCTTTAGCATGTTTAATGAGTTGAATATCATGAAAGGGCAATTACGTGTTTATTCTATTGGATTTACGTTTGTGGAATAAAGTTTTACGTTGTTGCATAGCAGTAGCCTACAATTTATACTGGGTTCATGTTATTCATATGCCAATCCTACTATACACTGCCTTTTGAATACAATAGATCTCTTTTTTTCGCAAATGAGTTGAGATTTCGTGTTCATCCTTTGGATTACAACTAACTAAGCAACCTACTAGTTAAGTGACCAGACAAAGACAAGAAAAACCGACAGAGGAACAGGTATTGCTGCTTTATCACATCTCATATCTGCAAATCAAGCGAGGTGGAATAAGAATGGACTGAATTCAGTATGACGATAATGTGTGAATCACATCTGTGCTACCGACGTCGATTCTGAGACATCGCTTAGAGTCTCCAACAACTGGTTTCTGTTGTCATGCGGCCTCGAACACTGCATGACTGAAACCAGCAGTCGAAGACTCCATGCATTAGTGCTTTATTTTGGTGTGACCGCCTCAGTCAGTCGCCGACGTACATGCTGGTACGACTTTCCAAGGAAGTGAATCGATAGACGTGTTCAACCATCCCACTCCCTACTGTCAGACGGGGTACCTGAGGACCTGTCTGGAAGCAATAATTTGAATTTGGGAGGTGAATAACGCATCTCAAACATTCTCGAATTCCCACTGAAGGTATAAGACTATCTCGTCAAGATCTCTACCTGTTATTATTATTAGTGCCTTGCGTTCTTAGTGGAACATAGGGCTTCACTAGCACGTCTCCAGTGAACTCTGTTCTCTGGAGTCTTTTGAACCTGGCTCCACGATAGCCCAGAAGCTCTCATTTCCTCCTCGTACGATCTCCTCCATGTCACCCTCGGACGTCCAACTCAAGATATCTACCTAACAGGGCTATATCATCTGCATACTCTAGGTCTACCAAGGATACTCCTTTGAAGTCAAACAACGAGGGGGAGACCTCCAGGTAGACAAAATCAACGTAGAACTTCGCATAGAAGTGCGTCTATCGACAAAAGTTGAATAAGGATAGAGAGAGTGGACACCGTTGACGAATGTCACTTGACTCTAACGCGCCTACGCTCAAAGTGATGCACTCACTCGGCACGCCTTTCAGTGAAACAGTGTCATAAGACCTCGAATTAAGTGATGATTTTACAAGTATGGTGACTGGTTCTATTTTCTGTTCAAAATGCTGAATTTCTGCACCGATCGACCGTGCTATATCTATGAATTCGCTCCCAGAAACTGTATGATCGATGTTTCTTTGATACCGATTACAGAAGTATGATTTCAGTCATTTTCCACACATTTCTTGAGCATCTTTCTGAAATTAACTAGTATCTATGATTCTTAAGACAAGTATACTCTACTCAAGGACCCTTTGAATAAGTTAGGCAGACAAAATTGTTGCGTTCAGTTGGTAAAGTGACAGAATGCAATGTTCCAAATAGCCCAGACGGAACTTCAGGATATTTCGTAGCTGGTGAGAGGAAGGTTACATTTCAAGTCTGATTTGTCATCACGTCATAGTGGTTGTGACCTCGTTTCCAGTGAGGTAGTTGGTAACGTGGCCTTTGTATAGATAGAAATCTCACTGAGTATGTGTTGATTTTCTTCAACACTAGCTTAGGAAACTCATCCTAACCATGGTTCGACGCATCCTGGAGGTGTAGGGCAACTTACGTTGTAAGTTCGGATTCTACTCTGCCTGTTAAAGCTTGAGCAGCTAAATATTTCCGTTAACCTTCAGGCAATGGGTTTTACTCATAACGTGATACACAGAAGTGTTAGTGATTCCGTATACACTCACAATGGTAGTGGTGAGATGTGTGTTGTTGGTAATGGATATGCGAAGACTTTCACAGTTGTACACTAAGGGTTGAGTGTACTATGCTTCAGTTCGCTTTATCATATTACAAGGCTGTGAAACGGCCACTAAACGTAGAAGGAATGAGAAGGCTCCAGGTGTTTGATCAGTGTCGCCTTCGTAGTATATGTCATGTTGTCACCAGGTCAATAACACAGACTTCAGGTGGAGAAGAAAGTCGGTTGCTGCCACTGTGAACTTTCATCGACTCAGATAGCTGGAACATGTGCTACGTGCGCCTAGTCACCACTTACCTTGTCGCCCAGTCTTATCTGAATTAGGTTCAGACTGGAGAAAGGTTAGGGGTAATGAGACTAGCATTAACGCATGATATCCTTAACCGTTTGTTTGCTCCATGTTAGGAGTTGCAGACTAACGAGTTGACATTCGGTTGGTTGGCGACTGTACGTGACCATATGGCTCAGAATCGATGTCAGTGGCACAGATGTGTCTACACATTATCTTCATCATAACAGCTTTACTGAATTCATTATTTTCTCCTTTCTCTCTTTTATTGCTTCTGACGGATTTTTCCTTCTTTCTTTATCTATAAACTTATTACTGATAACCATAGAGGAATTAGCCTGACGAACATAGTGTCTAAGATTCTAGGTTCCATAATCCTTCGACTCCTGAGTGGAGCTCGGGAACAGCAAAACGAAGAAAACCAGTCAGGCTTTACACCCGGCCGCGGGTATATTCACCAAATATTCATGCTACGCCAGGCTCCGGAACACAGACACGCTTACCGACACCCGACAATAACTGTATTTCTCGACCTGAAGGCCGCGGCATTCGACTCCGTTGACCGACAAGTCTTATGCCAATATATCTCACTGAAAGGCGTGCCGAGTAACTACACCACCTTGTTGAAGGCTCTCTGCTCGAACACTTGTAGATGTGTTAGAGCCGATGGTGAGTTGTCCAGGAAGTTGTACTCATCGAGTGGTGTCAGTCAAGGCTACCCACTCTCTCCATTCTTATTCAACTTTATCATAGATATTCCCATGGAGGTCTCCCTCTCGTCACCTGATTACACAGGTTGATCTAATCGCGGAAGAATTTTCGTTAGACCTAGGATACTCAAAAGACATAGTCCTGTTAGATGAAGACGCTGACAAGATGCAGAGTCTTCTGGACACTGAGTGGCGATTTGGGAATGTTTGGGATGTGTTTCTCACCACCCAAATGCAAACTGATACTCCAGGATTTGTATTCAACGGTGCCTCGGCTAGCAATAGTGTTGTGGATGAATGTGTTGACCATTTCACTCACCTGGGAAGTGGGGTTAGTCCTGCCCTGATGGCTCAGTGGCCGATGAAATTTCTGCATGGACACAGAAGGCTTGGTTGGCTTTTACTATTGAAAGTGGAAGAGATGAGAATTCTTCAAGTGTTTGACCACCACCGCCTTCGTAGTATAGGCCGTATTCCGTGGTGTCACCACACCACGTGAGTAATGCGTAAGTCAGGTATAGAGGTTTAAGAAGTAGAGGTAAATCAGTTGACGAGGTTGTGAACCTTCATCGATTGAGATGGTTGGGACACGTGTTACATATGGCTGGTCGCCGATTGCCTTGTCCCACAATGTTGGCTGAAGTAGGTCGAGGCTGGAAAAACGCTCTAGGTGGTCAGACTGAAACATAGCATCAATGTATGAAGTATTTGACTGTTTGTTTTAGCCATGTGGAGTGATGCAGACTAGGTGGTTGGGGTCCGTGGGACAAGAGGAACTTTCTCATTCTCCCTTCATCTCTTTTCCTACTTTATATTCCTTTTGACTGCATTCTCTTATCTTCATCTTCCACTTAACTGCCTTTTTACTTGATGTACTGATATGAGGTATGGCGGCAAATCGGACCGTTACGCAGTAATACCTGGTCCGGTGTTGATATTGATGACCAACTGAATCAAGTGAGTTAGTAACAATGAACCCTAGTCTTTGATAAGGAGTGGGAGTGATTTTCTGACTACATAGAATGATGATTGGGATATATCGTATCATTTAAAAATACTACTACTTACTTTAAACTTGCTAGACTGTCTTACAACCTAACAGTATGCAGAACAAGTTGTACATATATGCGTACATACATACAGAATACTGATAATGTTGACTCAGGGGTGGGAACTGAATCGATTGGGCGTCGATCACAACATCAGTGAAAACAAGATAGTTAATAATACTTATTGCAGACATAATAAGAAAACCAGATAGTAATAGGAATAAGGTTAATTCGACGAAACAAATCAAGGAAGGGAGACAAAATATAAGATGGGTGATAATTAAAAGGGAAGACCAAGTAAGAAAGATTGAATATGATTAGACGACGTTGTAATTCCTACAGTGACCTACAAGCTGACTACCATTTCCTTCCAAATGTGGAGGTTTGGTTTGAAAACTCGAATCGAGCAAGATTGTGTAATTCCAAGCAATTTCCTATTTTGTGTAATAATAACCCTAAAGGACTTACAGGTACTAGTTTCATGCTGACAATACATTAGGTGTTTCGTTATCAAGATCCGCGTGGTCTTCTCAACATGATTCAACGATTTACGTAGGTGCTCAACTATTCGGGTAGATTGACACCTCTCCGTACAACCAATATACTTGCTTCTATGGGTATATTCGAATTGATATATGCATTTAGATGTGTCAAGGCTCGGAGTCCTGTCTTTGCCTGTTTGCTGTAATACCCTTTTGGTGGTGCTGAGAAGAACCAGTTTAGCAGCGCAAAACATCCTTCCTATAGACTTCTCCAGTCTTCGTCTAACCACTTTTAGTACCTTCGAATGGCAAGGTGATATGGACTGGTTTCTTTTGTACTGCTGGGGACATTGTTCAATTTCCTACCCATTTTGTAGGCTTGTTGATAAAGCTTTCTG